TTGATCTATTCCTCCATTAATGGGCATTTAGGTTGTTTTCTATCTGTCTTTAATACTGTGTGAACATGGGTGTGCATATATCAGTTTGTGTCACAGCTTTTATTTCTCTAGGATATATACCTAGTGGTAGTATTACTACATCATATGGTATTTCTATTTCCAACTTTTTAAGGAATCACCATACCATTTTCCACAGACGTTGTACCATTTTGTCAGATCTCTTCTCCCATGTAGCCACTCATGGCTTTGAACTGCTAACTTTTCAGGTAGCAGCCAAGCGCTTAACCACTGTATTCCAAAAGTTCCTTGATACTGCTCTAAAACCAAAAAAAACCCACTGTCATCCAGCCGATTCTGACTCATAGCGACCGCCATTGGGTTTCCAAGGCAGTAAATCTTTACAGAAGTAGATTGCCCCATCAGGTGGCCAGAGTAGCTGGTGGGTTTGAACTGCCAGCTTTCTGGTTAGCAGTCAAATGCCTTAGGCATTGCACCACCAGAGCTCCTCTGATACTGCTCTAGACCCTCAAAAATCTTTCTGTAGTTGGAAATACATCAGAAAGTCACCAACATATATGTACCATCTTATTTGTACCATTACCACCTCACCCTCATTATGGAAATGCTCCCAAACTATGTTGAGGGGTGTTCAAAAGAAATAGCTCAGGGCTGCTTCACAGCTTTATGCTCCCACCACCAGCTCTCAGCTCTCAAGATCAGAAGTTGCTCTATTTCTCCTGGTTTCTTCTCTTACAAACATTGAGAATCTTGTAAGTGATTCTGTTTCTCTCTTTACATTGGCTGCTAGAAAACTCAGAGCCAGAGTCTAGTACTAACAAGGACTTCATGGCACCCATTTTTTGAACCAACCTCAGGCCTGAATCTGTCTTTACTATTTTGCCCTCATTTCTCCTTTGCCCAATTTTGCCTATTATTTCTTCATTTTATCTTCCACGTTATATGCTGGTACAACTGCCTTAATACTTTTTGGAATAACATATGATATAAAAATAATTCCCACAGATATGTCCCAGTTCTACATGTGACTTCCTTCACTTAGCTGTAATGTGATCCTGATCCCAAACCTTTGCCAGTCCTAGAATCACAATGAGACCCAATCTTTGACTCCCAAGTTCTATCCCCAGGTTTTGTCCCTGCCCCATCCCTCCTTCCCAATCCTTCTTAAACAGAGGGAGTAGGAGTGTGGACACAGGGAGGAGGCCCCACGCAGACCCAGAAGGGGGAAGAAGGTGACGTGCAACCTTACCCCAGCCTCCTGCCCTCTCCAGGACCTCTACCACCAGTCCTATGAGTGTGTTTGTGTGCTCTTCGCCTCAGTTCCGGACTTCAAAGAGTTTTACTCTGAATCCAACATCAACCATGAGGGGCTGGAGTGTCTGCGACTACTCAATGAGATCATTGCTGATTTTGATGAGGTGACTCCCATTTTGCCCTCCCAGCCATGAAGCCAGTACTTTCCACCCAGCAGTCTCTTTTCTCTGATCACCCAACTCTGTCCCTTCGAGCAACTGTAACCACTACAAACTCTCCCTCCTGCCACTGCTCCTCACTCTGGTCCTTTAGCCTCTAAAGACCTGGGGCTAGGCTTCTGGGAGAGAGGAGTGAGAGAACTTAGATAGACTGGGGACACGGCCTCCTATCTCTACAGCTGCTCTCTAAGCCCAAGTTCAGTGGGGTGGAGAAAATCAAAACCATTGGCAGCACCTACATGGCAGCCACAGGTTTAAATGCCACCTCTGGACAGGATGCACAGCAGGTACAGCAATCCCTTCATTACCTACCAGCCTTCATCTGGACTCTCATTGGTGGGCTCATAAGTGGGACTTATTCCTATACCCTCTTGGCCCATCCTGGTGGGCGGTCCATTGCCAGGATGCTGAACGAAGCTGCAGCCACCTTGGCACCATGGTGGAATTTGCAGTGGCTCTGGGGTCTAAACTGGATGTCATCAACAAACACTCGTTCAACAACTTCCGCCTACGTGTGGGTGAGGGCCCACCTCCCTGCTGGAGCAGTCCAGCACCTCTTCACCTTCTCAAGTTCTTTCCCACCAAGTCCTTTGTTAGCCGCTCCCTGCTTATCCCTGAGCCCTGCTCTGTGTCTACCCCATGGGGTGGGGCATGAAGCTGCTGGGCTCCCTTCCCTGCCACACTCCTCCAGACCCAAAAGCTTAAGACACCCACCTCCAGGGCTCTCCCTTCTCCCCAGTTCCTTGAGCTTCCCCTTTCCCTCTCCTTCCTCGATGTCCCCCCCATTAAGGCCCCTTCTTTGCTATTCTCCTTCTCAGGGTTGAACCATGGACCCGTAGTGGCTGGTGTGATTGGAGCCCAAAAGCCACAATATGATATCTGGGGCAACACAGTGAATGTGGCTAGCCGCATGGAAAGTACAGGAGTCCTGGGCAAGATCCAAGTGAGGGAGCTGCACTAGAGGCATGGGGGGTGGTAGGGATAAATGTGGGCCCACCTCTCACCCCACACTACCTTTCTCTACTCCAACTGCAGGTGACTGAGGAGACAGCCCGGGCCTTGCAGTCCCTGGGCTATGCCTGCTACAGGCGGGGCATCATCAAAGTCAAAGGCAAAGGGCAGCTCTGCACCTACTTCCTGAACACAGACTTGACACGCACTGGACCCCCCTCAGCCACCCTAGGCTGAGACCCCCACTCCCCTTGTGTCCCCTCCTGAGACCCTCAATAAAGAGACTCAGGTGTGTCTGGAACCAACTGATGCCAGAAGCTGCTGGTAGAACTAGAGATCACCTTCTTGCCTGTCAGTAGGACGGCTTCTTCCAAGCCAAGCTGACTCCCTCTGTGTGTAAGTGTACAAATGTGAGCATGGGTGAGCCTTGAGTGTGTTGGAAAAGGGTGATTCTGTTTGCAAGTTAAGGAAGAGGACTGCCTTAGCCTTCCTATCTGTCCCAGCCTGATTCCAGTATTTTGAACACCTTGGAAGCATAAAGAGTTTTACCCACATGATTCAAAGCTACAGTTTGTTCTTTCCTACTGCCCACTCACAAATAGTGCAAGAAATTTCCAGGGAAATGTCATTTGGCCCTCATTCATTCAAGAAACACTAAGTAATCATCTATTATGTGTTTACCATGCAACATTGGCTAGAGGCCTGGAAACTAATCTACTAGGTCCATCCCAGGTCCAGCGTCTCTTCTCAAATGAGCCCACCATGCTTTACAATGAGTACCTGTAAACAACTTGGAGAGTCCCCTGTTCTCAGGCCCATTAGATCCCCCCACCCCCTGCTTCCATCTGCATCCTTCTGCACAGATGTTGATATCACATGGGTCTTAGAACATTGATGGCTTATTTCTACCTGCTCATATTTTGGGGTTCATGGGGTCTGTTGTAGATGTTGCATGTGGATTTTGGAGAGTGCTTTTTCAGTTGCTCTTTTGGAGAGATTCCACTGCTGCTGCCATCTTCCCAAAATGTTGTTAGAACAGAGTTGGGCTGAAGCGCTCTAGACAGCAGTCACCCATAGGAAATGATGACTCATCCCTCTCATTTCTGGGAATCTTTATTTCCTTCAGGTGATCATGCCACAGAAGGTCCTCAGCCCCACCCTGTGCCTTGGTGTGTGTTGAGAGCTGGCAAATGCTGATGTGTGAATTCTAGGGGATAAAAGCTGATGATTTGGCTCTCAAATGAGGCCTCCTTGTGAGATAGAAGGAAGGTTAGGGATTCCGCAGAACATCTCCTGCTGAGTGGATGAAGATTATTGGCAGGAAGTTGGAGAGTCACCATAACAACAATACCTATCACAGGCTTCAGGATCCATGATGTCAAATAGTGCTAAGTTTTCTCAGAAGGAGTCCTGAGTTAGGGAGCCTGGAGTGATGAACCTACGTGAGTGGTATTCCTTGATCAGCTCCTTTAGGAATGTTGTTGTTGTTGTTATGTGCCGTCGTCGAGTCAGCCCTGACTCATAGCGACCCCTCCTTGGGTTTCCGAGGCAGTATCACTACGGAAGTAGGATTGCCCAACCTTCCTTCCGAGGAGTGGCTGGTGGGTTTGAACCACCAGCCTTCTGGTTAGCAGTCAAGTGCCTTAGCCACTATGCTACCAGAGCTCCTTAGGAATGTTAGTAGTCTGTTAACAAAACAAACAAAAACCCACTGCCATAGAGTTGATTCCAACTCATAGCAACACTGTAAGACAGAATAGCGTTTCCATGGCTGTAAATCTCTGGGGAAGCTGACGCCACATTTTTCTCCCATGGAACGGTTGGTGGGTTTGAACTACCAATCATTCCATTAGCAGCTAAGTGCTTAATCACTGCACCACCAGTAGTCTGTAGACCTGCATTTTTCAAAGTATGATCTGCAAACTGCTTTAGAATCACCTGAGGAGGGAGGGGATGATTTCTATATCCATCTTTAGGTCCTAGTGGTGGCATAAACAGTTTGTGTTTGAGCACTAACTGAAAGGTTGGTGGTTAGAACCACCCCCCCCCCAGTGGAGCTACAGAAGAAAGACCTGGTGATCTGCTTCCATAAATGTTACAGCCAAGAAAACCCTATAAAGCACCTCTACTCTATGACACATGCTGAAGCCATGAGTAAGACGAAATAGACTCCATCTCAAGGGCTAGATTTTTTTTGGTTGTGGTTTATTTTTGTTTTGTTTCTGTCCTTCCAGAGTTGGAAATCATGGGGAACTAAAGACTCTCAACTACTGAGGGATCTCATAAAGGCCACCCATGAGCATTCAGTTCCCCATCACACACAAGCCCCCTCACAGAGTTGACCCAATTTGAGACATCAATTTTAATTGTAAAGCTGCCAGTGGGAGCCGACCCCCCAACAGGCTTTCTCAGTCAGCCGCCACTTGCCCCTCCCTCTCTTCTTCCTCTCCAACCTCCACTCTCATTCTCCTCGCTGTACAGAATTGGGTCAGGCCAAGGAGAGGTCACTCCCCCAGAAGGAAAGCAAGCATCCTTCCACCACCACCCCCAAGGCCTAGTTCAGTTGGAGGAGTCAGCGACGCTCTCGGCGGGGCCAGGCTGAGGAGAGGTGGGAACACGCCTCAGGGTCGGGCCCAGAGTTCCGCGGCGGGCGCTGGATGCCTCAGAGCCGGTGCCCTCCAGCAACTTGGCGACAAAGCCCACGCCGGCTGAGCGCAGCAGCCCGCCGCCGGCGCACGCGTACAGCACGGGGTTCACGCTGCTGCTCAGGAAGGCGAGCGCGATGAGCACCTTGCGGGCCAGCAGCAGCCGCAACCCCGCGGGCCCAGACTCAGAGACCAGCCCGGCCAGCGCGCGGCCCGCTTCGGCCAGGTTCACCACGTGGTAAGGCAACCAGAAGGCTGCGAAGGCCAGGATGATGAGCACCACCAGGCGGCCGGTGCGGCGGCTGCGGCGGAAGCGTCGGGCCTGCAGCCTGCGCCCTATGTCGCAGTAGCTGGCCACCACGACCAGGAAGGGCAGCAGGAAGCCCGTGATGGTCTCAAATAGCAGATGGAAGGCCCTGTGACCTTCAGTGGGGTACTCTGTTAAGCAGACCAGGCTCCTATTATTTTTCAAAGTCACCTTGCGGTACACTAAAACGGGCGTGGCCAGCAGCACGGACGCCACCCAGATGCCTGCCAGCACCCGGCCAGCCATCGCCTTGGTGCGCAGCTTCTGGGACACAAAGGGATAGGCTACTGCCAGCGAGCGGTCCAGACTCATGGCTGTGATAAGCAGGACGCTGGCATACATACTGACCCCGCAGATGTAGAAACAGAGGCGGCAGCCAATCAGTCGAAAGACCCAGGTCCGTTGGGCCAGAAAGGAAAGGAAAAAGGGGGCAGTGAGCAATACGGCCAAGTCGGCCAGGGCCAAGTTCAGCACTAGCAGGGCAGTGACAGAGCGCTTACGCATTTTTGCCAGGATGCTCCACACTACGAATCCATTGCCAGGAAGCCCCACAGTCAGTGCCACTGATAGTAAAATGATGGCCAGTGGACCTGGTGAGGATGCTGCTGTAGGAGAGGTAGTGTTCGTGGCCATTGCAAGGACCTAGAGAGCAAGAGTGGACACGCCGATGAGGGTAGGGGACCAAGGGTTTCCTGACACTCTGGACTCACTTAGCCTGAGTACTCTGGTCTGTCTCCAAGGTCAGCAGCCTCAGAGGCACCTCAGCGAGACACTGTTCCCTTCGCTGCCAATTGACTTTGGAGATCTGGCTTGGGAGAGAGAAAGAATGGTTTCCTAACCAGGCCATGGGGCCCCTTCCTGCCCACAGACCCACTTGCAAAATATACAGCAGCAGCAGCAGCATTTCCAGACCCTTTCAGCCTCCTTCTGTTGTTGTTGTTGTTATGTGCCATCGAGTCAGACCCCACTCATAGCAACCCCTCCTTGGGTTTCCTAGGCAGTATCACTACGGAAATAGATTGCCTCATCTTCCTTCTGAGGAGTGGCTGTTGGGTTTGAACCGCCAGCCTCCTGGTTAGCAGTCAAGTGCCTTAGCCACTACACTACCAGAGCTCCTGAAACCCAAAAACAAACTGGGTGGCTTTCCTTACCATTGCAGCATCCCTCAAAAGGCTAGCGGCTCTGTCCCCTGCTAGGCCCTTAGCTCCCTCAGTCCCACTGACTTCCTCCAGTCACCCACCCATTCTCCCAAGATGCCCATTGTCCACCAGAGACAGGTTGGAGTTAATGGACAGGCAGTGAGAACAAATCTTCTCAACTCCCTTTATCACTGGGCAGGTTCCCCTTGCATCTTCTCTCACAGTCGTATCCCATCACCACCCCTACCACTCCCAGGATACTTACAGGCTTTGCCAAATGCTGGTTGGAAGCTGGTACTAATCCCAGGGTCAGGACAGGGTGGTGTGGCCTATCCTTAGGTCTGTCCCAGTGCCAGGGGCCTAGCCCCAGGTCTGGGTGCTGTCAGCTAAATCAGCCAGAGAGGAAGTACTTTGGAGCAGGGAGGTGGGGGTAAGACACATCTTCCTGAGGGTGGGGCTGAAACCCCTACCCCTCCCTTCACTAGTGAAAAAAAAAAATAGTCTTTGTGTTCCACTAGAGCCAAATGGAGAGGTGGAATCTTTAGGGGTGGAGCCAGAAGAGAAGAGCCAAGGAAGGGGCAATCAGAGGAAAGGGGGTGGGGGAAGTGAGTAGGCTGAGGTGTGGCCCCAATATGCAGGTCTGGACTGGAGAATTGAACAGACTAACAACTTGTGTCATATAGGACGAGAGAAGGAAGCAAGAGAGGGGAACAAACTCAGATTGAGAGGCCAGAATTCTGGGTAGTTTTATTTTTTTGTGAACAATGTAGATTTTTAGATTAATAGGAAGTGTAGGTTGGAGATGTGGCTAGGCTTTAGGTTTGGGTTAGGTAACATCATGATTTAAAGCATGCCGGTAAATGCCAAAGGGGGCAGCACCCTATCTTTGGCTTCAGTTCAAGCCATGAGCAGAGGGGGAAACCCTGAGCCCTCTTCCAGCAACCCCATCCCTCCCCTCACTTCAGGGGATTGGTTACACATTCTATCTAGGTCAAGAAATTCTCTGTTTTCTTTAGTAGAAGCCAGAGGCCAGAGGTCATCAGACAGAATGCCAGTTTCTTCCCCTTGCCCAAGCACTTGTCTTGTGCTTGCTTGTGTGGTTGCCCTGCCAAGGTGGGATTTAAGATCTGGGCACTAGGCTAGAAGGCAAGGAGGTGTGGCACCATCTCTGTCTACCTTCCCACAGCCTATTGTCCACTTCCACCTTCATCACACAGAGAAAGAAGAGGATGAGCAAGGACAGAGTGAGCATGGGAGGCAGGTGAAGGAGCAGGGACAGTGACGCTCATGCCCACCCTGTAAAGAGGGCTAACTAGGAATGGGAAAAGACAAACCACTCCCAAAGGGCCACTTTCCCCTTCGTAGGAGGGCACACTCCCATAGAAGTTAAGAAGGAGAAAGTCTCTCCTCCAATCTGACTGTGCGCCTCCCTGCTCCACTTCAACACTTTTCCTTCCTGTCACTTTTCAGGAAAGATGCAGGGGGTAATGGTAGTCACTAAGGTTCCCTATGCTTTCCAAGGCTCCTACTTGCTCTGCTTTGAGAAAACCCAGAGCAGAACTGACACAGTAGCTGTCAGGCAGAGGATATGATGAAAAGCAGTGGGCTGAAACCACAGCAAGAACTGAGGTCAGCATTGAGGAAGGGCTTTCTGACCACACAGGGTGTGTGAGATGGGATATGTGACAGAGGAAGTTGGGGAACCTCTGCCCTCAGCTCATGAGGACAGGAGGAAGCCCCTGCAGTCTGTCTTTGGGGACAGAAGTTTTGCCCCTTCAGGTAGAAAGTAGCTTGTCTGCCTCCCTTCTCAAGCTGTTCCCCACAGCCATCTTCTTCATTGGCCTTTCTCCCCCTACCTAGGACTAGATGCTCTATGCACACTCCCTGCGCTCAAGCTCAGAACTCCCTCCCAACCCCAATTGTGTGCTGCAGTGGCCCTGGAGTGACCCTGGGGCCAGATTTCCTTTGTTGTCTCTTAACCTGTGCCTGACACTAAAGCAAGCACAGGATGACCACTAAGTTGACCAACCATCCCATTTTGCCAGAGATCAAGGGAGTGACTGAGAAGCAGGTCTTTCAGTGCTAAAACTGGGAAGTCCTGGGCAAACATGGACAGGTTGGTCACCTTAGTGACACATGTGTGCACACATGGACGTGCCCTGAAAAGAGCCCCTCTCTACATCTCCAAGTTAAAGTATCAGGAAACCTGGGCTGGGAAGGACAAGTCAAGATGCCACTGAAGGCTGACAGTGCACAGAACTGGAACCACCAGGGGGTGGGGCACAAGCTTAAATCATGGTCTAATGGATGTCTAGTGTATTTCACAATCACAGTTATTGGCGTAAGTGAGCAGTACTGGCACATGGGCACATGCCAACCTGCAACCCCACAATACTTATTAACACGGATCATCACTACCTTCACAATCTCTCAGTTTGCAGGAAGTTGCACCTGCCCCAGGTGTATAATAATTCTGCCCAGCCAAATTGTGGTCAGAGAAGAGTCTCCCCAAACGCTTCTGAGCATTTCTCTGAATTCTGAAGGGTAATGGAAGGGGTTAGGAAAGGGCAGGCCCAGACATTGGGTTTGGTGTCAAAGGTCCCATTCCCTCTCCACCCGGCCTCTGGGGTCCCCATTGCTCCCGCCCTGCCCCACCACTTTTATCCTAGGGGTAGCTCGGAGCTCTATGGTCCCTTCCCTAGAGCGGCCACCCCCAAATGCCTCTCCAGAGCCCTCGAAAAGCCGCGTGAGGAAACGGGGACCTGCCCGGGGCAACAGGTCCCCAGCAGTGAACAAGTAGAGCACCGGGTTGACGCTGGAGCTGAAGAAGGCCAAGGCTGTAGTTCCGGCCCTCGCAGCCTGGCCCGCCCCGCCGAGCCTCGCCAAGGTCCCTTCCTGCGGAGCTAGCGCAGCAACCACCTGCAGAAGGTTGACTGCGTGGTAGGGGGCCCAGAGCAAGCCGAAGGCGAGCACGATGGCGCTCACCAGCCGGCCCACTCTCGTCCGGTGCCGCCTGGCGCCCCAGCGGGCGCCTCGCAGCTGCGCCAGCGTCACTCCGTAGCAGCCGAGCACTAGACCGAAGGGAAGCACGAAGGCGGTCAGGGTCTCCAGGCCAAGATGTACAGCGGCGTGATTCGACGTCGGGTGGCACAACTGACACAGGTCGTCTGGCCAGAGGCGGCGGTAGATGGCGGCCGGTATGGAGAGCAGCAGGGCAGTTGACCAGACCGCAAGTAGCAAGCGGCGGACCAGGGCTGGGTTGCGCAACCGGGGCGCCAGGAAGGGACGAGTGACGGCGAGGCAACGCTGCAGGCTGAGCAGGCTGGTGAGCAGGACGCTGGCGTACATGCTGAGCGAACATACGTAGTACACGGCTTTGCAGCCTGCGGGGCCCAGCGGCCAGACCTGCCCGGTCAGGAAGGCCACAAAGAACGGCGTGAGTAGTAGTGCCGAGCCGTCAGCCATTGCCAGGTGCAGCACAAGTGTGGCCGCCAATGGTCGCCCCCCTGCGGGCCGCCAGCCCGCCAAGCTCCACACTACAAAGCCGTTGCCGGGCAGCCCCAATAGCGCCGCCAGCAGCAAGAAGGCGGTACCTGTGGCTCTCGATGTCTTGGAGCTCAGCAAAGTCTGATTCCCCGGGAAAGTGTAGCAGGGCATTCTCGTGCGCTGTGGGGGCTGGAAAGGGCCATGGAAGGCATTCATGGGTGGGGCAAAAGCTTGGGTTACCCCTAGTGTCAGGGGAGATGGGACTTTGCTTTCTCACAAAGCCCCCTGCTGTCCGCCTTTCTTCTGTCTTGGGGCTTTGACTCCCTTGAAGACCCAGGTCCACTTAAGACGTATTTCTTCTTGGAAGCCAGATCCCCTGCTTGCAGACAACTGATCTCCTGACTCCTGGTTTCCTCCCAGAGCCCAGTGGCATCTAGACTCACAGGCTTGACTCCCAGGTTATCACTACCTCCACCCCAGTAGGAATGGCCCCTCCTTTGTCCAGGTGGTGGTGGTAAAGGTGCAAGGGCAGATCCACTTACCCAGCTCAGAGTAGGCAGGGTTGGGAGCCGAAAGGGGACGAGGGAACCTGAAAGGCAAAGCAGCGGAGGGCAAGGTGCCGACCGTCCCGTGCCTGTCACATTTGCAGAGGGTGAGGTGAGAATGGGGAGGGACTAGTAGGGCTGATCATCTGGGGCACTTTCTGGGGCCCCTCCCTCACCTGACTCCTTCCCATCACTAACAGGTCTAGGCCTGTGAGAGCCTGCCTCCCCCAGGAAACAGGATCAGTTAAAGGAGTGTAAGATAAAGCTCCCTCCCTGTTCTTGGAGGTGAATGCTGACACCCTGCTGAATCCTGATCCTAGGTCCTGCTTCTGCTCAAATTCCTTCCCTAGCTCTAGTCCAATTCTCCCAGCCTTCATCTTAGGGAGTGGGGGGGATGCAGAGAGGTGTAAGGAGCTTATAACTTGTTGGGGAGTCACAGCACACGACTGTGAAGAGACCACCCTGCCTGGGTACACCAAGGATCAGGCAGGTGTAGAGGAAAGAGAGTAGTGGTAAGAAGCCCTCTCTGGTGGAGAGGAAAGCAGTGCTTGGAAATGAAGAGATTTCAGAGGGAACTGAGAAAGTGGTGGAGGTGAAGGGAGAAAGAAGGGACTCTGCCCAGCCAATAGCCTGTATGGGGGTTTCCTTGGAAGCCATGATACAAGAAGCACAGTCCAAGCAGAGTGTGAGTTTAAGGCATGTATTAGGGACACCATCTCAGGGAGCAGGTAAGATAAAGAAGAGGCATCAGGAATCTCCAAGAAGCATACAGAATACCAGAAAAGACTGGGACATTTACCCCCAGCTCCCAGTTTGAGGGTTAGCCTCATACACACTTTCAGCTTGTCAGAGGCTGAGTGAGCTGCCTTGGCTTCAGACAAGGCCCCTAGGCAGGAAAATAGAGAGACTAGGACTCATCTGAGGGGTTCACTGTCAGTGAAAGTCTGGGCTTCCATGCAGCTGTCCATGATAGCTACAGCTGAAATCACAGATGGGACGCAGAGCAACAAAAGCTGCAGTCCTGATTCCATCAAAGAAGACCCCACACACAAAATTCACATCTCCTTCATGTACATTAAGTAAGTAAGTGGCAAAAGGAGAAAGGTGAGAGAAGGTAACTAGTGTGGCTGAAGCAGGCTGTTCTGGTGAATGAAGTCGGAGAAGTTGAGCCACCTCCCCTGGACCAAGGGAGGAGGAAGAAAGCAGGAAGGTCAGGATCCCACACAGAATCCTGATGACTAGGCTTCAAAGAAACACCTTGACTTCAGTGGATAGAGGAAAGCCATCCTCTCCTCACACTCCACCCAAGCACACTCTCATTTTCTCCAAGCCCTACCCATGCTCCCATCCCATTTCTCCACTCTCAGCCCCTGCCTCCCTTTCCATAAACCTGCAGCTCATGGTTTTTTCCAGTAGGTGGCAGCTTCTCTGAGGACAGGAGCCAGAAACTGTCCCTAGAAATGTCCCTCCAAATAAATAAAAACACCAGAGATTACATGCCATTCTCTTAAATAGGTCCCGTTTACTCTCAAAATACATGCCCACACCAGAGATACACACAAGCTTCCATGGCCTTTTCTGGGCAATTCAGGGCTTCAATCTTTAATTCCCTACCCCAACTAGCCCCTCCCCCATTCCCTTTCCCTGGACTTTGTCCTTCTTACAGGCCAGGCAGGGGAGTCAGAGTCCGGGATTGACTCATTCCCCACTTGACTGGGGCTGAGATCCCAGCTTTGTAACAGAGAACACCAACACTTCAGCCCCGGCACAGCGGAGAACCACTCAGCCCAGAACTCACTGGGGAGAGGCGACCTTCCCTATCCCTTCCTTCCACCATGGAGTACCTCTCTGCCCTGAACCCCAGCAACCTGTTCAGGTGATATCTAACTCTCCTCTCCACCCTCTAACTCTGGGGATGTGGCGAGGGCAACAAAACCCCATTCAGCCCTGGACCCTTACCAGAACCTCTTCCTCTCCTCCTGACCCCCACAATTCCCTGGTGGGCCACACTAGCTCCTGAACAACTACTGCCCCTACCACTCCCTTGTGGTCTCCCTTCTCTAATCTGCAAGATCTAGATCCCTCCCTCCCTCTCTGGCTACCACACCCCACCCCCAGCCCACTCGGCAAACCCTTCCTTGCTCCTTCTTCACCCTTCTTCTCAACTACCAGGTCAGTGTCCAACGTGAGCTCTGAGGTTGGTCGTAGAGTCTGGAACTCGGCTCCACCTCAGAGACCTTTCCGTGTCTGTGATCACAAGCGGACCACCCGGAAAGGTCTAACAGCTGCCACCCGCCAGGAACTGCTAGACAAGGTGAGTGGGCCAAGTCCCTGGGTTCCTGTTGCAGGGGCAGCCATGGGGCTAGAAAATAATGAGAACATGAGATGATGGAGCAGAAAGGGCTGACCCTGAGGGCTAAAAGGAGTGTGAGCATTTGGGTCAATTTGTTTGGGGTGGGGGGAGCAGTAGATATGGGGTTAGAGGGATGGAATGGAATTCAAGGCAGTATGGAATAGCGATTTATATGACAGATCAAGATCAAATCCTGATTCTGCCACTTCCTAGATAACAAATCTTGGGAAATTATCCAACCTATCATCTACAGATGTTTCTTCATCTATAAAAGGGGACTAATACACCACCACCACCACCCCTTAGGGTAGTTGAGAGAAATCAAAAAAGATAATGTATATAAAGTGCTACAAAGATACCTGGCACATAGTGAGGACTCAAAAAAAAGGATAAATATCATGATTACTGAAATGGTTCAGGAGGACTCAGTGAGGGTAGGAGAGAATAAGGTTAATTGTGTAGATAAAACAGAATGGATTTCAAAAGAACTTGGCTAGGTTTTCAACTCCAAACCAGTAGAAGTGTAACTGTCAGAATGGCGTATGACCAGGCAGTGTTTTGTTCTATCATATATAGGGTCGCTATGAGTTGGAGCTGACTGACAGTACCTAACAATAACAGAAGTGTGTCTGGGAGAGAAGTAGGAGATGACAATGACATGGTAGTGGCAAAGCATGAGCAAATAGAAAAATGAGAAAACTCACTGCAGTTGAATTGATTTGAGTCACAGTGACCCTATAGGACAGAGTAGAACTGCCCCGTAGGGTTTCCAAGACTGTAAATCTTTACAGAAGTAAACTGTGTCATCCTTCTCCCACAGAGCACCTGGTGCGTCCGAACCACTGACCTTTTGGTTAGCAGCTAAATGCTTTTACCACTATGCCACCAGACCTCCTTCCCCTAAAAAACTAAAGACTGGGAGCTGGAGCCATTAGAAAGGATGGCAAAGGGAGGTCTGGGAAATGAGTTGGGACATCAACAGTATCTAGGCCAACAGATAGATGTTGGGTAGCTAGAGCAGGGAGGGGCCTGGGATAAATTCCACCCCTTCCCTCCTGTTTCCTGCCACTGCAAGGCACTGGAGGCCCTACTACTGAGTGGAGTGCTAACACTAGTGCTGGAGGAGGATGGCACCACTGTGGAGAGTGAAGACTTCTTCCAGCTGTTGGAGGATGACACATGCCTGATGGTGCTTGAGTCAGGGCAGAGCTGGAGCCCCATCAGGGTAAGAGGCCCATCATGAGGCTGTTATTGGCTACCCGTCCTTTATAGCTCTCCCCATCTTCTTCTCTAGCCTAATTCTGATCTTGGTGAAAGAGGTGCTGGAGAGCTGTGGAGTCAAGGGTGGGTCTGACTCAGTGCTGATGGAGATCAGTGGTGGGTATCAGGGTGAAAAGGCCCATTGCATTGACTTTGGTACCAAACAGAGCGGGATGCTGTCATATGGCCTGGGCCGAGAGAAGCCCAAGCATAGCAAGGACATTGCTCGCATCACTTTCGACGTGTACAAGCAAAACCCCCGAGACCTCTTTGGCAGCCTGAACATCAAAGCCACGTTCTATGGGCTGTATTCTATGAGTTGTGACTTTCAAGGACTTGGCCCAAAGAAAGTACTCAGGTCAGAGATCAGTATGTGATACTTCCCTCTTCCCTATGGCTGGGCGGTCCCCATAATTCCTTCTCCTGCACTCACCCTCAGTGAGCTCTCCCTTGTAGAAGGCCCCTACCCTCTGGCTCTGTAGCCTCCCCCAGCATTCCCTTACCCATCTGACTTTCCCTCATCTCTACCCTCCAGGGAGCTCCTACGTTGGATTGCCACTCTGCTCCAGGGTGTGGGCCACATGTTGCTGGGCGTTTCCTCCACTCTGCGCCACATAGTGGAGGGGGCTGAGCAGTGGCAGCGGCAGGGCCGCCTCCATGCCTACTGAGGAGGGTCTCTGAGCTTCTGCCCCCAAGCTTGTTCCAAGAGATACACTGTTAGAACTGTGACAGCATCAGGTTTTTGAACTGGGGAAGACTGTGCAGGTTAGAGAATTTACCCAATTTCCCTGCTGTCTTCTGATCCCATCGTGGCAGAATCCATCAGCACAGTCTTACACCCCCTAGCCTACACCCTCTTCTGAAGAATGCTGCCCCATCCGGCCATATTTCTAGCCTCCCACTTACCATTAAAGGTCATAGGCCTGCCCTCAGATACCTTGATCCCACTGTGACTGCTGCTACATCTAGATTCCTTCCCAACTCTTCCCATCCCGTCCATAAGCTGCCAGCACACTGAAGAGAGCCCTCTCTGACTTTACCTTGAGATCTTGATTTCTTTGTACTCTTCCCCCTCCATGGAAAAAAAACAAAATTTCTAATAAAAATATAAAAATATTTACCAATAAGCTTTTGAGTCTAATTCAAACCAGGAAAGAGATGGAATAGATACTCCTTCCCCCCTCGCCCATCAACACTCAATCCTAGATCCAAAGGCTTCAGTCTTCAAGTATCGAGGTCAGGATCCGCCTCCTCTTGGCCACTGCCCCCTGCTGCTGTTCCCAAGCCTCTCGTCGCTTCAGGAAGGTAGTTAAGGCTATATTTCGAGCCACATGGTGGCCAAAAGGGTCTCTCATCAGCTCTTGGTTCCGCTCCCCTGCAAAGCGAACCACTCCATGTTCAGTATCATCATGCAGTCACCCACTCATGCTTGAGGACAGATTCTATGTGTACTGAAGGTCTCTTCATTTTCTGATTCTGGGCCTGCCTCTAGAATAGACTTAACACTTCTCTCTTCAAAGGACAGATGTGGGAGCACAGGGCTGCATAACAGCAGAGGGGAAGGAGAGATCAGACTGCTAAGAACTCCTTGCCTAGACTACCCTTTGGACCTTAAGTCTCTGCTGAATTTAAATATACTGCAACCACCCAGCTATCTGGAAAAGTACAGAAAAATCAAAGAGGCTCTAGTACTCACCCAGCTCAGCAGCAATTTCCTTCCGGGCCCCCAGTGCTGCTCCACTCCAGATGGCATCGAGCACACGGCTGCCATGGCAACTACAGGCCAGGGCCACATATTGTCCCTATATTGATAAAAGCAAGAGGTAGGTCCCTCTAGGCACCAAGAAAGTGGTGCTGCAAGGTGAAGGAAGAGGACGGAAGTTTCAAAAGACTGTAAAGCCTACATCAAAACAGTCTAGAAACTACATATTCTCTGACTCTGAAGGCATCACCCCAGGGGAAGCTCACAGTCTCTGAATGAATGAAGACAGGGAAGATGAGACACAGCTAGAAGTCTAACCTTTAGGGTCTGCAGCAAATGGCGACGTCGCTTGTGGGTCACGGAGGGGCTGGTCAGAACAGCATCAAGCACGTGGGAGCCAGAAGGACTCTGGGCCAGAGCTAGGAGCTGTGGCCCCGTCAAGGCACCTATACTTCGAAGCACAGGACCAGGGGTAGAGAAGTGCATCAAATGCTGGAGCAGTAGAGACCCAAGGACTGTCACTTCCCCCAGAGGCCTAGCTGCAGCCATTTCCACCTGGCAGAACAAGGACAGGAAATTAGGAGACAGCCACCAAACCAGAGATATGAGCCTATGCCTAGGACATTGCCACCTCCACCTGGATGAAGTCAGAGATCTCACCACCCTTACCTCAGGAGTGAAGGGCTCTCCAAGACCTGGGAGGCCTGATTGGAGAGCCCTGATCCCTCATGAGTCAGTGGCTTGGCCTCTCCCCACCTCACCTGGTGCTCTGCAGGCACTGCCTCCTCCTCCTCCACTAGGCCATAGTACACCTCATAAGCCGTCAAAGTGGCAAACAGAGGCACACAGGCCACTTGCCGGGAGGAGGGCTCTGCACAGTGGAATGCCTAGACAAGAAGGCAAAACATGAGTCTGAGAACTACCCTTCCCTAACCCTGACTCTGCAGACAGGGGAAACATTCAAAAGAAGTGAGAGGCCTAACTCCACAAGAACGTAAGCTCCATGAGAGCAGGATCTCATCTGCCTTGCTATATCCCCAGCTTCTATACATATAGCAGAGGTTCAATAATTATTCCTTAAATAAACTTCTCTTTTAGTTTTGGGAGACACTTTTCATTCCAGGGCTGAGATGAATTCTGGTCTCATTTTTTCCCTCTATCTGTAAAACCCCTAGAGATCAAAGCTCTTAAATGCACTGGAACAATAAATGATTAGATAAGTCCAAGTAGATTGAATTTCGACCAAGGCCATAACTGGATTGTAGGTGACACTCACCTTTAACAACAATTGTAGGACCTGGGCTTGGTGGGCCCCAACTCTGCGGCAGGCCCCCACCAGGGCAATGACTACTCCTGGATGGCCCTGAGCCAGCACAGCTTCCAGGGCAGGGCTCAGCTCCTCAACTATAGGGGACAGCTGAGGAGAGACATGGCACAAAGAATCTTTGGCATTCTGGTAATAGTAGGGTAAGGTATTCAGAGAAATCTCCCTGCTAAAAACTAAAAATGCTCGATAAAATATAGAAAGCATTATGAACTGCCATATGGAAAATGAATTTGCTCGTAAACTTTTACCGAAATTACAATAAAATTTTTTAAAAAATACTAAGTATAACAAAAAACCAATGAAGAGCAGGCAGCTAACACAGTCTCTTCGATATCTTTTTAAAAAAGAAAGAAAGAAAGAAAAGAATGTGCTAGGTTTGAAGAGACTTAAAGGGCATCCTAACAATCACACAATGCAAGGCCCTAATTTGGTCAAACCAGTTACAGAGGACATTTCTGGGACAATGAGGAAATTTGAATATGGACTGGACATTACACAAGATGAAAACTTGTGAAAGGTAAAGACTAATATATGGAAAAACAGGTTACAAAACAACATATATACATGGTTTCAACTTAGTAAAAAAGATGCATGTATATAAAAGATGAGCAAAAATATCCAGTGTTTTATATAATGCTTATAAAGGCAACCACTATGATAGGATTATGGTGCTGTTAAGTTTTAAATTTTTTGTTTATCTATATTTTAGTTTCACTCTTCTTTTTGTTTTGTTTTGTTTCTTGGTCATCGTGTTGTGCAACCATCATCACTATCCATTTCCAAATTGCTGCTCTGATTTCTGTCTACACTACCTATAGCCAAAAACAGCTTTAGTATTACAACTCAACTCATTCACGGTATACACTTGAATGGATCCATTTTAAGTGTACATTTTGACAAGTTTTGACAGAGTTATACACCCACAAACCACTACCATGATCAAGATGTAAGATATTTATTAAAAAGTTTCTGTTTTGTTATTTGTGAAAGTAACAGTATTACAGTGGAGAGGGAAGGCAATGAAGACCAAGTTGGGAAATGCCAGGCCAACTCTGGCATAAAGCCTGCATCCAGAGAGGTCTGGGAAATACAGGAGCACTAAAGCGCCTTTTGCTCTCAAAGCACTTGCCAACATCAGGACTTTGGTTGGGCTGGACAAAGCCCAGGACAAGTGGGCAATCTTAGAGGTGTCAACTCACATTGCGAGGACACTTCAATGGCCACACTCTTGAGGTATGAGAGAACCACAATTAAACCTGCCCTCCCATTCCAACTCATACCTAGCAAAGGAAAAGAGATACTATGCCAGCAGCCCCATTGCTCATATGGGTTTGAATCCAAGTATCCAGAGGTGGGCTTTAACTTGGATTAACCCAGTTTCCTATTGGTAGTGCCTTCCGGCACCTGAAAGAAGTCAAAACAAATCCTCTCTGGGAGGAAGGCACCTTCCTCCAAAGTATGGGAAATTCCCAGGAATAACTCTTCAAGGGCAACGGCCAGCATACTGTCAGAGGTAAAGAGGCAGGCTCACAGGAAAATAAAGTTCCATGAAGAAGAACTAGCAGAAATAAGAGTACAGAAACAGACCCAGCCCAGTGCCTGACTCACCAGCTCAGGGGTAGTGACAGCATCCAATAAGCGCTGCAAAGGGTAGTTGGCAATGGGATGTGCAGCCAGGGTTTGCAGCTGCCCCTTGAAATGATCCTCAAAGAGGTTCTGGAGCCTCGGGGGCTCCAACACCAGTAGCACCTGCTCCAGGAGTCTGGAGCTCGTCTGATCCCGCAAAAACAGCAGTAGAGGGCTGGGGACAAGAAAGCAATCAAACATATCAAACTCTCCTTCATCCCAATTGCAACTGCATCACATCACCCCATTCATTTCACACAGCCTGTCAACTTTGTTTGATTCTGAAGTCCTGACCATACCTGCCATCTGCTGAGGAATTGCGAGTACTCAGGTAGCCAATCACAGCACTGCAGAGATGGGCACAAAACTGGGGCAGTTTGCGATGTAAGATCTGTAAGGCCACTTGAAGGCAGAAACTGGAAATTTTCTCAGTGATAAACACTGTGGGAAAGGATAATGAAAGCAGCCTTCTCAAAATACAGATGACCTATACAACCTCAAACCTTAAGCAACAAGGTACAAGGGGCTATAGACACAAAGGGCCATTACAGAGGACTTACACAATATCAAACAAGATCAAGTTTGAGAAGATAAGTAAGGCCGATCTAACTAAGGGCCTTGTCTGAAGATAAGTCTAGAAAAAATAAGACTATAGAGTCCTCACCTACTTTCCTCCTTACCAGCAATGTCCTTCAGAAAGAAGGCACTCAAGTCCTGAAGGCGATTCAAGAAGGTTTCAGGGACCTCAAAATCACTTGGCTTACATTCCCAAGCAGGAGCCCTTTGCACCTCTGAAGGAAGAACAAGAACATATGCAGCAGTGAGATCCCAAACTGCTGTCAAGGAGGGCGATGAATTCCACTGATAAACAAAGATTCTGCTGGGGGTCACAGAACAGATGTGGTACACCTGACTGTCTCTTCTCATTTGGATAACTGCACTGAGACTACATTTCTGTTTTGACTTTTCTAAAAAACTTCCACCAGCTCCCTCATGGTTCATAGAGATAATCCAAACTCAACCAATTATTCAACATGTTCCAAAATCAGGCCTCACCTAAATTCCCAAATGTAATTTCTTAGAGTTTTACAAAATGTATGTCATGGCCTATGAGTGTAACATGAAATCAGTTTAGTGGATCTCAACCAGCATATTTTTAACAAAATAGCCTAGAATTTAAAAAAAAAAAAAAAACAGGAAAGAAAATATCAGCGTGGATCGCATGTAGTAAGGGTATTGTTTCCTGAACTTTTACTTGAATCCAATGTGTATGTATGCTGCTGTTGGACTGTGGTTTTTAAAAAAAGTCTTAAATTTCTCTATATCAACACACGTGCTCTGGTGGTGCAGTGGTTAACACATTCAGCTGTTAACCAAAAGATGAGTGGTTCAAACCCACCAGCCTCTCTGTAGGAGAAAGATGGGGCAGTCTGTTTCCATGAAGATTTATAGCCTTGGAAACCCTATGGGGCAGTTCCACTTTGTCCTATAGGGTCACCATGACTGGGAATCACCTAGATGGCAGTAGGTTTGGGTTTGTTATGAATCACTTCTCTGGGCCTGGGCACACATTAATCTTTGGCCTGCTAAGCCCTGTCCTATCTTCTCTGCTAATTCTTTAAAGTCAGGCTTTCCCATGAAGACATACTCTTCTGCTTACTCTCTCCTTCTGAACTTCCTAAGCTCTCCTCTTATGTCCACTTCTGGCCCTTACCAGAAGTGATACTTACCAGCTGATTGGGATCCACGGGGCCTGGCTCTCTCAGACTCCAGAAGAGTGCCTCCTAACACCTGCAGCAGAGTTCTCACCAGGAAGCTGCCATGTGTGTCTCCACAGTAGAAAAGAAAGTCATCACACACCTCAGCTGCTAGTCCCAGGACCAGCTCCTCCAGGGTCTCCGAGGGATCATCCTTTTCACCCTCCTCCTCTTCCTCCTCCTCCTCCAATGCAGGGCTCCCCAGCAATCGAGGCAGCTGCAGCAAAGCACTTTGCAACACATGCACCCCGCACCGATGACAGGCCACAAAGCGCAAATTGGGACGCAGAGCAGCCCATACTCGACACAGAGGTTTCAATGGACTGAACCCCAACAGTTCTTGTAGTATTTCACTGCCACTCCTGTTGGTGGCCACGGCTAGGGCCTGAGCTTCCACTTCCTTCAGTACATTCTGCACCATTAGCTCTGGAAAGAAATAGTTCAGGAAGGCTGAGAAAAGGATAAAGTTCAATTTCATCACTCAACTAAGAGGTGGGGGGGGCGAGGAAGGAGATGGGAGATAAAGATTAAGTCCCCACGCTCTGGGGATTCCCACAGACCTCCTTGCCTGTCCGGGATATTTTGCCCGGGCAATAATGTCTCTTGGACCCACCCCGAACTTGCGAGCTACCTCGTTCTTCCCCGGTCTCGGGAGCCTCTTTCAGAGCCGAGAGCGCCTGGCGGAAATAGCCCAGAGCTTCGGGGCTCAGGTGAGAGTGCCCATCAAGAGCCGGCTTCGAGCGCTTTTCCGGAGGTGGTCTGGGTTGTCCCTCGTGGCCTGGCGGGGGGCGATCCGATCTCTTGGCCCCGCGCCCCCGTTTGCTACCAGCTGTGAACTGACGCCTTGACTCGTGGCGGGAACGCGGACGCATCCCCATGAACGCTCCGACCCACCTCCAAGGGCTGCCTTCGCTACAGGGGTCTCACCTAGACAGAGTTTGGAACCTGTGGCGCACTCAGGACGCAGTGTAATGCGTCATAGCTCCGCGACGGCCTCCAGCTAGGAGGGTGTGGGTGAGTCCTCCAAATTACCCCGCCCCATTTACTTGTGCCGGCAGGGGTCCAAGACCCTGCCCCCGGCCGGCCCCCGATCTAAATCTCCCCGGTCCATATGTCGCTGCCACCCTTAGCCCAGAATGCGCGACTTTGTCCCTGAGCCCCGCCTCCAAGTCTCCAACTCAACTCGGATCAACGTCCACCCCAGCCCTGTACCTTGCCCTAATCCTAGTCAATTCGCCGCGCACCGTTGCCTGGAATCAAAGCTCTGGAGCTGCAGGTGTGTCGAGCTAGGTGATTCGAGGACCGCAGAGGCTGCAAACCTGACAGGTAAGAGGCACGAGCTACCCACTCGGCTGAGAGTCCCCAGGCCTCACGCTCTCCGTGGAACGGAAAGCTGCGTTCCAGGCTAAGGGACTGGGCCACATCAGACAGCCCACCAGCCCAGGACTCTGTGTGGACGCACTTTGAGGGGCCGCCAAGCCAGAACCCTCCATCTAGCCAGCCTGGTTCAGAGGGTCCCAGTAGATGTCTTGTACAGCCCCACCTTCGTCACTCCCTGTTGTTGTTGTTATGTGCCGTGGAGTCGGACCTGACTCATAGCGACCCCTCCTCGGTTTCTGAGGCAGTATCACTACAGTCTAGATTGCCCAACCTTCCATGCGAGGAGTGGCTGGTGGATTTGAACCACCAGACTTCTGCTTAGCAGTCAAGTGTCTTGCTACCAGAGGCCTCCTAAAAGAGGCAACAGACTCTGCACAGGGGCCTGCCCTCAGTAGTCCCCTCTGAAATATCACCCTTCCCCTCATGGTGTCCCAGTCATTGCACCCCTTCCTGCCCCAATTCCATTTGGGGTACCCAGCCTCCACACACATTTTGTACACTTCTCTCAGAGCAAGTCTTTGCTTCTACAGTTTTTCCTTCTTTATAGTGAGTCATGGCAACTCCCATGAAGGGCCAAGTGTGTGTAGTAACTGGTGCCTCTAGGGGTATTGGCCGTGGCATCGCCTTGCAGCTCTGCCAAGCAGGAGCGACAGTTTACATCACTGGCCGCCATATGGACACACTCCGGGCCACTGCTCAGGAGGTAAGCACTTCTACTGGGACCACAGTTGTCAGAAAACACTTGAGGGGGCCTTTTGGACTAACCATTACTTCTCCAGTCCTCCCGTAGTCCTTTATATTCCTTAGTAAAACAGTAATACTTAATGTGGACTAGATAAACACCACAAAAAACAGGTGAGGTCAGGTTTTGCCACCAACTGAGTTTTAGGAGAAAAACTTTCTGTCTGAGCCCTTCGGGAGTTTTGAAATGCAATTAAAGGATTGTGGACCTGTGCTCTCCTGTGTGTTAGGCAAGACTTTATTGAACTGTACATTCACATTTGCAAGTCAGACTTTCCTGACAGATTTCAGTGAGATAAGTATTTGTGCACCTGTGATTTGCCAGACATTGAGAAAAGTACTAAGGTTACCAAGATAAACTTCAACAGGAAATGAGTTGCAGAAACTGGTCATTTCAATGTAATGTGAATATGGTAAGTGATAAGGTGTGCATGGAATGCTCTGGGAGTAGAGAGAGGGAGCATGGAGATCATATAGGGAAGTGCCCTGCAAGAGGTATTATTTACCCTGAGTCTTAGAAGGTAAGAGTCAAATAAGCAAAGTCAGGAAAAGCATCCCAGCAGCCAAAAAAAAAAAAGGAAAAAAACCCAAACCCACTGCCATCAAGTCAATTCCAGCTCATAGCAACCCCCATTGAGTTTCCGAGACTGGAATTCTTTATGGAAGTAGAGCACCCCAACTTCTTTCTGCAGACCAGCTGGTGGGTTGGAACCACTGACCTGCTGGTTAGCAGCCAAGTGCCTTATCCACTACACCACCAGACTTCCATAAGCAGAGGAACAGTGGTGAAAGAGTGTGGCTGTTGTGAGAAATAATGCTGGAGTTTAAAAGTAAAAGGGAGGAGTGGTGGGTGAGAGGCTGGAGAAGAAGCAGAAAATGGGTCTTGGAAGACCCTGGAGAGAACTTTGACTTTTAAGAGATGGTGATTATCTTACTGAAAACACTAGACTGATGCTCTGCTGGAAATTAAAAAAAAAATTATTGAATAAAATCATTTCATGAAACAGGGAAACACTATAGACATCCGTACAAGATGTTGCAATGCGCACAATTGCAGGGAGAACAGTAAGTGGTTCAAACTCACCAAACCAAATTCACTGCCAGAGCTGATTCCGACTCATAGCATCCCTATAGGGTTTCCAAGGCTTAGTCTCTACCTTACGCACAAATTTAGGAACAACAATGGACAGATCTGTGTTTATTTATTTATTTTTAAAATTTTTATTGTGATTTGGGTGAAAGTTTACAGAACAAATTCATTTCCCACACAGCACTGTCTCCCTGTGCAAACACTGCCCTTCAGTTCTCTCATGATTGACTTTGCATTATTTCTAATTTTTTTTTTTTTTGCCATTTTGTTCTTGTGTTCTGAAATTGTTCTGTTTTTGTCTTTGTTTTCTTCAATTTTTCAGTGTTTTCCTTGATCTGTCTTTCAATCTTTTGAACATACCTAAATGTAATTCTTTTTTATTCGTTATCAGGGAGTTCCAATGGTGTGTTTTCTGGGTCTGTATCCTGGTCCCTTGTTTGTACTACTTTATCTTGCTTCTTTGTGTGGACTGTGCATGGTCTGTTGTCTCTGAGACATTGTGACGTTGGTTTTTGTATATTTAATTGGTGATTGTATGTTTGAATGATTCACCCAAGATTTTTGTTTTCTTTGTTTTGTTTTGATATATCTGAATAAGCAGGGTATTGTGCTCCTCTATGCACTCGTTGGCACCATTTAGACACCTACCACCTGTCTCCTGCTGGGTGTGATAGAGAATGAGACTGAGTGCACAGATAATTTTAGCTGTTTGTGAAGAGCACTCAAGGGTGAGTCAGGCTGTCATGTATCATTGGCCAGTTGCTGCAGAAGCAAGTGGTGGCCCTCAATCAGTAGGTGGGGCTGAAGGACGTGTAGGTATGGTTGGGTTACATAAGCATGGTTGCTGTCCCCCACTCAGCCAAAAACAACAATTAAAAAAATAATATCAAAAACGTGAAAACAAGAGGACA